CAGCTGCTGGCTGGGTTTTCACCTATATAAAATGCACTGAGATGCTGCCAGCTCCTTCCTTGTGTTCAGTCTCTTCCAGCCACGTCTCCTCATCTACGTCCCCTGTGGCCTCTCAGGTCCTATATATTCTATCCTGCTAGAACCAGAAAATCAGATCTCCTCCCTTTTCCAGTTCCTGAATTATTATTGAACAAACAGCAATCTTTACTTGAATCTCTTTGTTCTAAGTTTGTACTTAGTTTGCTCTTTTTTCCTTTTTTTTTTTATCTGTAGTTGTGTCCAGCCTATCATCTGTCATGGAAAAACACTTCATATCCATTTTGTCTGTTCATGGAAAAATATTTTTATTTTTTTGGAAATTGCTGGAAGCTCTTTCTGCATATTTATTTTTTCAAGAACAATCTGCCAATGGAGATGTTTGCAAAATTTAATATACGTAGCTTTCATTAACTGTTTTGTTTGCTTGCATTTTTTCTGATGTTACTCCTTTTTTGATATCAGAACACAAAAATTAATTTTGAGAGTTAAGGAACCAACCTTATTTGAATTAGCATTTTTTTCCTCGAACTTCAGAAGAGAAAACTCAGGCCTCTTCAGGGACATGCTTGGAAAAATCCCATGCGATTGGGCCCTAAATAGAAGAGAGGTCCAAGAAAGCTGATTGATATCCAAGGCTCACCACTTCCACGCTCAAGAATGCTTCATCCCAAAGAGCAGGACTGTGAAACTCCTGGCAAAACTCAGATTTTTCAAAGGAAGTTTACAGAAGGTGGAAGTAGGAACAGGTCACTAGAGAGGAGTTACAGGGAGGTGGTTCCCGTCCGCAGGGACAGGGCCAGCAAGGCCCTGCATACCCTTATCCAAGGCCCTTAGCCATTTGGCACTTACTTTGAGAAGCTTCAGTTCTTTAAAACACTGTGTGATCTTTTGACTTGTAATCATGGGAGGAACTGTTGATAAGAAATTAATTTTCAGATTGTTCACTCCTAGTGTTTAAGAACACTTGAGCAAACTGTTAGCTAAGCTTTGCAGAAATGTGCTCAAGCAGTTGCAGCTCAGATTGTCTGAGATAGTCTATCTGATCCAAGTTTCAACTTCCGCAGCAAAATAATGTGTTCCAGGCTTCCCCCATGATTGAAGTCCAGTGTCAGCAGTGCCACACAGCTGTGATCGTGCTGTCAGCTAGTCCTGAATAGCCAAACATTGCTGTCTGGATAGGGATGATGAAGTGGTCACTGCAGAAATGCACTTGCTTCCTCCTAATGAGGATTCTTATTTTGGGAAGCAGGCTCCCTGTGCTAGACAGCTTTATTTGCTACTCAGTGAGTCACTGCCTTTTTTTCATGCACTGAGCACAGCTCAGTTTTGCAAAGACCTTGGTACTGAAAAACATCCAACGTCTGGTAGAAAGACTTGCTGCTAGGCCTCTTCTCCCCTGTTCCCTGCTGTGACAGAGCAAAGGCCCAGGATCGCACTGAGAGATTAAACTGGCCATTACCCAGGCCGGAAAATGAAACCACCTCTGCTTTCTCTCCACCCTCACCGTCTCCATCAGCCCAGCTTGGTCTGAATCCTTCACTGCCCTCAGCGCAGTCCCTTATGTTGGAAGGAACTCTCGTCTTGGTGTGTTTTTGCATGGAAAATAAATTGCATCTGCACCTATTGTGTGCAGACCTGCTTCAGAAGCCAAAATCTCAGTGGTTGGTGAGAATGTCCAGGGGAAGAAGGGGTCAGCACGGGCCCACTCTCCGGTGCAGGACGAGGTTTGCGCCCCTGCCCGCTGCGCCTTTGGTGTCGAAGGGGAAAGCCGGGGCCGTGCTGGGAGCAGGGCCGTGCTCAGCAGGCCCCGCCAAGCTCGTGCTGCTCCTGGGGACTCCAGTGACCCTAAAGCAAACGAGTGGAAACCTAACCCGAAGCGCGGCAGGCTCAAATGATCAGGCGGAGATTATCGTAATGAAACTGATGTCTCGGGGCCAGTGCATTTCTTGCCAAACAAAATACACCTGAAAAAGCTATTCTGGAGCAGGAGAAGCAGGAGCCAAAAAGCTTCAGGGTGCTCCCGTCTTCAGTAGTAAATAAACAAGAACACAGACGGTTTGAGGAGCTGGAAGGTTAATAAGTCCTTTTGTACTTTTTATTTGCTCTCTGAGCAGAGCGACAGCAACCTCAGCCTGATGAATCTTTGTTCCCACAGAGCATGTTCATCTTCAAAATTGCATAAAAGTCTTCTTGTGAACAGGACCGACTGCCTGAATTATTCAGGGCTTTGGAGGATGTGAACTCATTATTCAGTATGAAATGGAAAGATAAAAATGCAAACAAGGAGCCCACGTGGCTGAGGACACGTAACTCATCTGGACTTGCATGGCGCGTTTACCATCTCTGAAACCCGAAACAGAGCAGATGAACCCAGGCCATCGCGTCCGGCCATCCCGTGTGTGCTCAGAGCCCTGGTGCAGCTCCGGAACACCTGCGTGTTTAACCATAACATTTTGAGTGGATGCCTTTTTGGAGGGCTGCTTTGGCTAAGGGCTGGCAAAAAGGTAGAACAGGGAACTCAGTAGACAGCTTGTATGGGATATGAGGAAAAATAGAGACATGTGGCAGGTTAGGCCTGATCTCTTCCTAAAACAGCCACCTTTGCGCCTCTGAAGAGTAGGTGCAAAGCCCCAGAAAGCCCTCATGCATTATGGAGTATTTCCAGAGTGTGGGGGCAGCTCAGACACCTCCAGTGTGGAAATTACTGAGCGTTTACTGGCAGCGTTTTCATGCACGCTGTTTTTCCACCTACCTCTTCCACGAAAGGCTTGGATTTGAGAGCTCTGCATCACTGGTTTATGCAGCCCACGTAAAACCAGGTCGGACCGTACTTCTTGCTCCGGTGGCATGGCACATAGTCCGGAGCTGGGGCCACGGATCCGGGGCTGGATGAGGGAGGTCATCCAGCACAGGGCTGGAGCCTTCTTTAGCACTTTGTTCGAACAACAGTGTGTCTCCTGCTGCTCCCCAGTAATCAGTTCTATCTTTCTACTAAAAATAGCTTGCTGTGCCTTGTTCTTGTGCCCTTCATCTAATATAGATAAGTGAGGCACAGGAGCAGGTGCAGAAGTGAGCCTGAATGTGTGCAACTCTCCAAACTAGCTGAGCTGGAGGGGAAAACAGCCCTCCTTTTACTTCAGTCATGTTGAATGTTTTCCCTCCAGCTCTTAAAATTCATGTGTTTCTGCAGCAGAAACAGGTGGTAGTCACAGCCCTCCCTCCCTCCGGAGCTGGCTTTCTGCCCAGAACAAAGCAGGTTGTTCCAAAATGGGCAGCTTTGATAGTACAAAGTACAGTGAGTCTTCAAATACCCTGATAGGACAGTGTCCTGCACTTTACTGGTCACCTTTAAGCCCTCCTTGAGCTTCGTTTTCTGTCGTCTCGAATGGCTAAGGATTCAGTTTGTGTGTGCTGCATGTGTGACCCTCGTTCCTTAGCCTCAGTCCTGTCTGGATCTCCAGCTGCCTTGGCGGTGGCTGCAGTGTCCTGCTCGAGGACCTGGCGCCGCTGGAGTCCTGTTTGCGGGTGATCGGGGTGCTCGTGTCGGCAGGCCGAGCTGCTCTTGGAGCAAGCGTGGCCGGCACCGCGCTCTGCGTGGCGCACAGAGCGGCGGCGGGGCCGTCTCCTCGGGGCAGTGGAAGTGCTGCTGGGTGCCTGCGACGCGCGGGTGCGTGAGCGCCTTCCTGCGCTCTGAGCTGCGACCCCGCGGAGCTTGTGCGCGCGGTGGCTCCTCACCCCGTTTTCCCTTTGCCACGTGACAAATCCTGCAGGGTTTTCGGGGGGCCGCGCTGCTGATCTCCGCTCCGCCCGGAGCCGCGTGCTGGAAGGCGCGAGGCAGCCGTGCTGCACGGCCGGGCAGGGCCCTGCGCACCGCAGCGCGACACGGCCCCCTTGGCGGCAGCGCACGGCCTGGCTGCTGCCCTGCTCCCCACGGGCCGTGTTTCATTGCAGCCTTCCGGTATGGAGTCTGGCAGGGGCTAGGCAAGTTTTTCTGAGCCATTCTCATACAGTGAAATTCTAGCCATTTGTTAAAGACTTCAGTAGACAACCTCTTGCTTCATATCATTTCTTCCCATGTCTGTTGCTCACGTTCGTCCAGTTCTTTCCGTATGTTGTGTCCCCTTCTTGGTTGATGCTGCCTCCTGCATTGTGACTTGGTGAGTGTATCCCTGGTCTCTGCACTGCTTCATTAAAATGCTGAAATCCATCTCAGGGCTGACCTAGTAATTTCTCTTCCACCTATTACTGCCATCTAATGTTACTCTTTATCTCCTCTTTAGCCAGTTCCTTAATTAGGAAGGACTCCTAATTCACCAGCTTAAATAATAGCATGAGGAGGGGGTGAAGAGGTTGCTCTGAAGAGTTCCTCACATTACTGCTGACAAAATATATCAGTCTGTTTCTTAACAGTGCATTTGGTTGCTCCTGAGAGTAAGAATGATATCCCAAGGAGTCTTGAGTCTTGTAGCCTGTCCTGCTTCCTTTCTGCTGCTCCTTTCTGCCAGTAAAGGGCTCCCACTGGCCTGGGTCCCTGCAGGACAGGTGCTCTGGGCTGGAGGTGGTCCCTGTTTGGACACGCTCGTGGTCTGGGGTGCTGCTGAGTCTGTCCGTCTTGCAGAGGGAGGTAGTTGAACCCGTAACCTCCATGCACACAGGAGCTCGTTAATCTTGGTGAAGAGGAGAGATCATGACATGATCTCTAGATTTTATGCACCTGACATGTAATTTTGCTAATCCTTGTTGTACGTCTCAGCTGTGCTGCATGCAGCAGATCCCCTTTGAGACTGTTTGACAGTGCAGGCTTGGCCTGTTACCGCACCCGTCTGGCAGGGTTTCTCTGGGTAACGCTTGTGAAAAAGCTGGTAACCATCCTGGCTGCAGAGCAAGGTTGCAGCAGGCTCGGACTTGGTTTCCTTTTTGAAACGGCAGAATGGTGCAACCCTTCCTGCTCTATGGGATTTAATGCTCTTCAAGTCAGGGAACTGGCCAGGACTGCAACTTGCTTCAAAGCTTCTGTTCCTTAGGCTCGTTGGCTGGGACGTGTGCGTGATGAGACTCGTAATTCCTGTCGGTCCTCTGTGGCCCTCCTGGAATATCTCTTTTCATTTAACAGCCAAGGACTCTCAGATGCTCTTGGCAGAAAGAAGAGGGTTTTGCAGTTATTCTGAGTACACTGATCTCTCCTGCAGAATCTAAGAATGTGCCATTCCTGTAGTTCTTTGTCCCTGAGAGATGCATGGCCAAGAGCTGACTTCAGGTTTTATTTTTGGCACGTTGCTGTGCTCTGTTTATGCAGGGAGTCCCCAGCATTGTTTCCAGTGCAGGATCCCTTCTGCAGTGTGGAGCAGGCTGGGATTCTCCGTGCCTCTGCGCTAGGTGGGTTTAGCTGCCACGGGTGAACTGGACCTGTTTGTAAGAGCGGCTCTGGAAAGCAGCCCTCTCAGCCTAGCACCTAGCCAGAGCAGCGTGGACTTGTGCTTCAGGGCTGTCCTAGGCACGTCCTCTCTATTCCTTACGTTTGCAATTTCTCTTCCCTGTAGCTTTCTTGAGATGATGGAAGCCCGAAGTCGAGGACACGCTTCGCCACTAACGACCAACGGGCAAAGCCCTTCCTCTGGCTCCCAGTCCCCCATCGTCCCTCCGAGCTCCACATCCACGGGCAGCTCCCGGC